ACCATGCTAGGGTCGATGGGGACTTACAGTATTTTTGCTACCTGCATGGAACCCAGCCGGATTTACATCATCCCCTCCGCTGTTGGCGATTATTGACAAATTTAGCCAAATTAAAAGAACATATCTTCTTCGATTAAAACTGAAGTTGGAATAACATACTTTGAATGATTTGGACTTACGATACACCCTCAGGGGGACAATAATTTTAAACTACTTAAACCCCCTTTGAGGATGCAGCCACGATCAATCACAAATATTGATTTATTCCACTAATGCTAAAAAGTCATTTATTTTATACAAAGCAAATTAACTCAATTTATCAAACATCTCTATTTCTCTTAAAAAGCCGATAATTAAATGAGAACTAATAGTGTTAAAAAGATCCTTCATAGATTTAACCTTGAAATATTTATCCCTTGTGATGGAAAAATCAACACAGTCAAGCAGGACATGATTGACCGTGATTCTTTCATCACAAGGGCTGCAGAACGGATGATCCTCACCTTTCAATAAATATTCATTGGTGTAACGCGAATGGCCAATACGACATCGTCGTAAATGACCTCTTCAAATCTGGACTGACAGCCCTAGTAGGTGTAACCGATATTTGGTTTAATTTGATGTAAATTACGAAAAAAGTTGAGTCGGAGCTATATCTTGAAGATTTTATTCTGATTCCGAGGGGTGGAGTGAGTGATGATTTCTTATTGAAAAGATCTTCGTAAAGAGGATGGAATATGCATTAAAAAGCTGGATTTGACTGATTAGAATATAATTTAGTTATGTACTGTAAGGATACTTTCATACGGCGTTATTTAAGGGATGGCTCAGCTGCTTCAACATATAGACTTTGAATGGGAGAAGTCCTGAAGGCTCCTAGGGAAGCCTCAGGCCCTGATGATGGATAGTATCCAGTTTTTGTTAATTACTTTTACATGATCCACCATATACGATGGAGCCGTAATCAAGTTTGGAACGGATTAGTGATTAGTATACAAGAGGATTTCTGATCCTCTCCCCACTTATAGTTAGAAACTACTTTTAATAAATCGAGTGCCTTCAGACATTTAGTTTTAAGGTATTTTATATGCGGTAAGAAAGTTAGATGGCTGTCGAAAATAAATCCCAAGAATTTGGCATCCTTAAGCACTTTGATACGGGTGCCGTTTAAAAAGAGTACCGGGTCCTTATGCGGCTTATATTTTCTGCAAAATTGTATACAATTAGTTTTTGATTTGGAAAACTTAAATCCATTTTCAAGTGACCACTTTTGAACTTTATTGAGACAGATTTGTAATTGTCTCTCTATTTTATGCATATTTTTAACTAGAAATATTAAAATCATCCACGAAGAGTGACCCATCAACCGAATCATTTAAAACCTTTGAAAGACTATTCATTTTTATACTAAATAACGTGACAGACAAGATACTGCCTTGTGGGACGCCCTGATCCTGATGATAATGATTAGACAGGGTTGAACCCACGCGGACCTGAAATTGTCTGTCAGTTAAAAACTTGGATATAAATTGCGGCAAACGGCCTCGCAATCCAAAGTCATGTAAATCTTTTAAAATACCCAGCTTCCATGTAGTGACATATGCTTTTTCTAAATAAAAAAAGATAGACACATGCATGCTGTTTGTTAACAATGGCATTCTTAACGTGACTCCAGTCGAACTACAATGTAAATGGTCAATGGTACTGTGATTTTTCCGGAATCCACATTGAATATTTGTGATTAAATTATTAGATTCTAAGTACCAAGTTAATCTAATAGTATTATTTACCATGCCTTCCATGGTTTTGCAAACGCAGCTAGTCAATGAAATGGGACGATTATTGGAAGGATCAGTATTATCACGTCCAGTCTCAGGTATGGGAACAATGATAGCTTCATGCCATGAAGAAGGAAATTCCCCTGACGTCCAGATTTTATCAAATATTATCAAAAGGGTTTCTAAACAGGATTGTGGTAAATGTTTTAAGAGTTGATAATGTATATTATCAGACCCCGCAGCAGTATCATGAGCTTGCCCCAGTGCAGTATGGAGCTCATGAATGGAAAAGGTTTCATTGTAATCTTCCCCGTTATCTGAATTAAAATGTAGAGGTTTATTTTCCTGCAGCTTTTTGTATTTTTGAAATTGAGGGACATAGTTACACGAGGAAGAATGTTCAGCAAGAATTTTACCAATTCTATTTCCAATATCTGACTTATCAGTTAACAATTGATCCCCATCTTTGAGATGGTGGATGCTTGATTAAGTACCCTTACCTTTGATTTTCTGAATCATGTTCCATATCTTGGACATTGGCGTCCGTGAATTTATCTTGGATACATAATTTTGTCAAGATTGGCGTTTTATTTGAAAGAGCGCCGGGTTTTAGCATTTACAATTTTGAATTTATTGAGATTATGCAACATTGGATGGCGTCGGAAATACTTTTCAGTCTTTTTCCATGCTTTCCTAGCTTGTTTGCAATCATTGTTGAACCATGGTTTACGTATGTGAGGATATGAGGAGGACTTCGGAATAGTGAGTTCATCATAGAATAGTTGTATAGAGTCGGGAACATCAATAAAAACTTAGTTGGCTTTAGTAAAATTCCAACTTGAAGCTTGAGAAACATCGGAAGGTGTAACAGTTTTTAAAATGGCAGGAAAATGGTCACTTCCACAGAGGTCATCGTGGACTGACCATTCAAATTTATTAAGTAAATTAGAATCTACAACTGACAAGTCAAGACAAGAGTAAGTTCCAGTTGCAGGATGTAGATACATAGGAGAACCATCATTAAAAATACATAAATCGTTATTTAAGAAAAAATCCTCCAGCAATTTTCCTTTGTTATTGGTATCATTACTACCCCAAAGTGGGTTATGACCATTCAGATCGCCCATGATAACACATGGTTTGGGAAGCTGGTCATGCAGTGCCCGAAGATCAGACTGTCGGAGAGAGTACGGTGGTGGTATATACAAAGAACATAAAGTCAAAACAACATTAAATGTTACACGTACTGCAACAGCCTGAAGAGGGGTATTGAGAAGAACAGGACTGTGAATGATGCCCTGCCTCACTATAACAGAAGATATCAATATGCCTTTTCATCCGGAGGGGGAAAACAAGGGTAAGAATCGTACTGTCATAAATCGCATTTATCAGTTGTTTTGAGGAAAGTTTCTTGTAAACAAAATGCAGATGGTTTAAAATCTTGAATTAAGAGCTGAAAATGATTTTAATTGTTCCAAAGTCCTCTACAATTCCATTGGATTAAAGTGGCAACTCATGGGGGTTCAATTGGAGATCGCGAGCAGGAGGAAGGTCCTCATGTCATTATGAACTTCTTACAATATGGTCTTTTCGTCAGAGATCCAGTTTATAGCCGTTTGGCACCAAGTATCCACTTTGAGTGGAGAAGAGGAGACTGCAGCAGAATAGGTCAGCGTAGTAGAGAAAGTAGTATACTCTTGATCAACCAATTTCTTGACATCAGCAATGAAATGTCATTAGTATACACTTTAGTTTGAGAAGTTTTGATTGTCTTATCAAAGCTGGACATGATTTGAATGAGGACATGTGGTTACCGCCGCAGTTGGCACACCTGATGTTATCAGTGAAATCAGTGCCCTCATGATTATTACTGCAGCGGGCGCAAATTTGGGTGGCATGACAGGATTTTGCACCATGTACAAAATGTTGACATTTAAAACATCGGAGTGGGCTTGGAATGTAAACTTCCACAACGATGTTAAAATACCCAGCTGTGACAGATCAAAGAGTTTTAGGAAGGGCAAATATTAACAGATAGGTGTTGGTTTTGATAACGGTATCTCCATCTTTCCTGGTGAAACGTGTGACAGACGATACACCTTGGTGCTGCATTTCTGTTGTAATTTCCTCTTCAGACATATCTGAGAGGCACTTTGAACGATGTCGTACACTGCCTCTACATGAATTTAATGTTTTGTGCACTGAGACAACAATCTCAGTATTTGCAAAATGATGTGCATTGAGAATATTTTGAGATTGCTGTCTCCTGGCACTTTCCACAAGCAGGGATCCGGGCCGGAGACAAGTAACATTTTTAACTGTTCCCTATATACCTTCAATTGACTTTGAAACAACGAAGGGGTTGATTTTGAGGGGCTCTCGATCAACTCCAACAACCAGAAATCGTGGCCAAGAATCAATACTGTGTGCAGACTCCTTCCTCATCAGAAGATGTGTCTGTATCAGTATCAACATGCCTACGTTTAGTTTTTTATCTAGAACCAGCGAATTGTTTGGTAGCCATAATGTAACAAATGAAATTTAACGCCCCTGCTCCCCACCCGCCACGGGGTGTCAACAGAGATGATGTTGAAGTGGAAACCAACTGCAAACACCAGGGCTACAGGGGTGCTATACTCCAGCAAAAAGGACACAGGTAGCTAAACTTGTCAAACAGAGATAAAAGTCAGGCTGGTTCCGCCCTAGACAGATACCTGATAACAAATAGAACCTGGAGGTCATTGATGCCAGATTGGCCCATGAGCCCCCGCCTTCTGGCATAGGACTCTAGGCAGATTTATAATGTATTCAAAATCATGTTTTCCAAAATAACTATGTTGAATATAAGGATATATTCAAAATCTAAATATACCATGCACAGGGCATGGCGTGACCAGCCGATTAATAAAACCGGGCCCATTCTACCACCCGTCTAGGTGAAGTTAGGGTCAAAATGGTGTGTTGGGCAAAAGGAACACTGTTCCTGGCTCCAGTGCCCTCAACCACCAGAATCCCTTCCTCACCCGACACAGGGAAGCAACCCACGGCAATTCGGTCGCCTTTTACGACAAGCAATGGGGTGCTGTGGACACATTCTACCCCGGGTCCACACGGGGGAAGAGCTATTAGCGTTATCCAGCACTCACCACAGGGAGGTTGCTCTTTACGAGTGCCTATCACTATATTTAATAGCCATAGAAATATAATAAGCCAAGAGATGTATAATTAAAAAAATCTTTAATGAAGGTTCCCTACAATCAGTGCAACAGAGCTAACATGACCCCCATTCCCTGCAAAGGTCATACTGATTGTGTTTGAAGAATAAACTTTATCCACAGGCACCCAGTACTCCCACATTTCCCATGTGGTTGGGGCGTTGTTCTTGTCTGTATCATACAGCATATATGTTGCTGGCAGTTTATGTTCATTAACCATGACGCTCAGAGGTTTCCCGTTTGCGCCTTTGTCTCTGCTCACGCCAATTCTCATACGTGCAGAATGGAAGCCTGATCCTTGTACCTGAACTGTAGTTTGAGCATGCCCGTTACTTATTGGGATCACCATGGTCTTTCCAAAGAAAGAATTCTCATTATTCGTCTTTACGCCTCCAAAATTGTAGTTGGTCTTGAATTTGTAGATACAGCTGGACTCTCCTGGGAGACCGACACGTCCATTGTTCTTGTTGGTGTCAAAGTGGACATTGGCATGCATTGCTGCGTTGCCGTTCTGGTACTGAATGCATGTGGATTCGCCAGTTGTTGGGTTAATCCAGCCATTGTGGAAGTCCAGCTTTACATTCTGCCATTGTTTGCCATAGTTATGAAGTAGGACCATCATCTCTTTGTTATTCGGGTTCGCTAGAGCTAGAGGTGCCACTTGTCTCTCCCACCCTGTGTAATCACTCGAAAGTTTGAGAAACTTCTGGTCATAGTACAAATTGTGCCAGAATTTAAAGAAGTTTGCAATTGGTGTCTCATGCCCATCTGGAGTGAACAAAGACCAGTTAAGGCTAGCGCTGCCTGGATGTTGCTGCGTGGACAGAAGGAAGACAACGACTCTTTCCATAAACTCCCTGAGGTTGAGATAAGTGAACATTTGTGCATTTGACAAGTAGAGGGTCGCAAAGTCAACAATCCCAGAATGAGCAACCTGGCCGATTCCGTGAACTCCACCTCTGCCGAACTCGCTGACGATGATAGGAAAATTCCTCCCTTTCTTTATGTGAGAGTAGTTTTCTATCATGTCAATTATGGCAACCAGTCGTGCTTCATTGATACCAGAAAAGGAATGGCTTCCACCAGATACATGGAGATCATTGTAAGCATGGAAGGAGAAGAAATCCATGTGATCCAGAGACATGTCCATAAACTGTGCCATTCTCTTCCACAGACTGAAATTATTTGCATCTGCTCTGATTGTATAGCCAGTGTATGTTGGACCTCCAACTTTGATCCCAAATCTTGACTTAAGCTTTTGTGCCACATCTTTATGAAAGTTTAACACAGTCGTTGCATCGAGGATCTTATATGAGGCGTCGGGTTCGTTCATGACTTCAAAGAAAGCTGGGAGATGTCCTCCACTGTAATCTTTGGCACTCTGAACCATTAATGACACGAACTCTGCCGCCGCATCTAGATTATTGGGGAACTTTCCTCCATGCTGGGACTTGTCAATCCAACTGGGCCAGCTGAGACCTGCCACAAAAAATATAGATACCGTAATCAATAATCAATAATCTATAATCAATAATCTATCAAGTTCATTGGTCTCATATGGTATTAACCATACTGACGTATACAAGTTAGGATCTACACAACTTTACCGCATTCGTAAGAGGCGACTAACGGGATTGGGAGGTCAGGCTCGATGTCTTGATTGATGCATGTCATCCTATCCCGATTGCGGAGATCGATGCTCATGATGTCTATCACTGGATTGTCAGATCCAGACTCGATTATTTACTGATCGCCGTCAAAAAGGTGGAATATTGCTTGGTGTGAGTTAAACAACAACAAACAAACAAAACATGCAGTGAACAATACACGCAACAGCAATTTCAACGTCCTCTGCCAAGATCAATTCAAGTATGTCCAATGAATGGAGTCCATAAACGAAGTATGGTCATTCTTGATGGCATACCTTTTATTTCCCACACCATATTCTTTATGTCATTTCCGAAAGCATGGACCTGTTGCATATAGAAGTCCCACGTGCGCTTCTGTAGACTATGGTCTTGAAGGTAGTGGGGGTCTGGATAACCATGGTGAGACGGATTTTGGTGCCACTTTAAATAAATTATTATTATTATTATTATTATTATTATCATCATCATTATTACTAGTAGTAGTTGTAAGTACATATCGAAATGAGGGTTTGGGTGATCCTCGCACAGTCAGACTGGTTATGCACATCATCTGCTCAGGCCCCTTGCCCTCTCAACACAAACCCCAAACAGCGAATAGGTCTTCTCCCTGGAAGCGCTGCACAGTCGAAACTATCCAGACCTTTTCGGGTAACGTGAAGACTCCCACTGCACTGAACACTGCAGCCATCTGCATTACCCACATTGTTTGAAGGGCTGCATTCATGGCTGACAACCCGGGTACTCTTCAAATGTCAGACAACAGGTTAGGAGGTACCAAACCTAAGGCACCGAGAACAATAGGGAGTCAGACAACCTGGTACTTGGGATGCAAGTTTTAGCTGAATCTTGTCAATCACATTAAGTGTCAAAAGGAACAGCATAATTCATTAATATAAATGATTTTACGGGATGTTTTAGATCAGGTTTGTTAGCTTGGACAGGTCTGACGCTGTATACGGGCCTATTCCAAATACGCCCTCTACAAATTCTGGGTCGTATCATGGAGACCCGTGAAGATTCCGGGGTAGAAAGGGGCTTCAGCAACCCATGCTTGCCGTAAAAGATGACTATGCTTGTCGTAAAAGGCAACTATCGGGATCGGGTGGTCAGACTTGCTGACTTGGTTGATGCATGTCATCGATACCAATTGCGTGGTGGAGACCCGTGAAGATCCGGGTTAGAATAGGTCTTCAGCAACCTATGCTTGCCGTAAAAGACCACTATGCTTGTCGAGGGGCACGGGTGGACCAGTCGTCCAAGGCGCCGCGATTCGCTGTGCAGAGTTGCGTCCCTTGGGCACGCCAGAAAACTATGATTGTGAGTTCGAATCCCGGTTCGCCCCGATTATGTTTCTAGGTTTGTCAGCACCATACCCGTGGTCGTGGGTTTCACCGAAGTGGTAAACGTCTGAGACCTGCATCACTTCGGGCTTTCCTCCCACATTAAGCTGACACGCCGTGATATAACTGGAATATTGTTAAAAGCGGCGTTAAACTCACAAACTCACTCACCCACTCACTCACTATGCTTGTCGGAAGAGGCGACTAAAGGGATCGGGTGGTCAGGCTCACTGTCTTGGTTGAAGCATGTCATCGATCCTAATTGCGTGGATCGATGCTCATGATGTCAATCACTGGATTGTCTGGTCAAAACTCAATCATTTACAGACCGCCGTCATACAGCTAGAATATTGCTGAGTGCGGCGTAAAACATCAAACAAACCAACCAACCAACCAATTGCGTGGATCGATGCTAATGAGATTAGTCACCGGATTGTCTGATCCAGACTCGATCATTTACAGACCGCCGTCACATACCTGGAATACTGCTGAGTGCGGCGTTAAACAACAAACTGACCTCTGTATCATTATTGCTAAAAAACGGATCTGAAAAATAATAGATCTTGCACAAGCCAGAAACCTAAGATCGTCGGTTCGAGTCCCGGTTCCACTCTCGGGTCGTGCTCATGGGTTTCACCTAATTCATAAACCTCTGAGATTTGTATCACTTCCGGATTAAGCTGACATGCCGTGATATAACTGGTCCACATTTCAAAGCGGTTTTAAATCCAACCCACTCACTCTATATTCTTTGTAACGTGTCGGGCTACTTGTCTCTTCATCAAGTGAATTGAAACAAAGCGTATTTGGTGTAGTATTTTCTTGACAAAACCACATAATTGTACCTACATTCTCGAAGAGGCCGCCATTTAAATCTCTATTGAGCCAGCGTCCTGGTGCGGTACCGATAGCTTTACACTTGGAAATAAGGTTAGACCTGGTAAGAGTGTTGTGTTTGTTCCATCTGTCCACCTCGTAATGAACACGCCCACCTTGGGAGAGCCACTCGTTGTAGATGGTGACTGTGGTGTCGGGGATCACCTCCCCCCACAGCAAGACTGTTATGAACGCTACCACCGGCACCTGCTGCATAGCTTTACGCGTTCAGGTGAGAGACGAGTTTGTTATATACTAAGACGCAATGAGTATCAAAATCGCATACGTTATACACACCTTGTTTTGAGATAAGTAATTCCATATCAGTTAAGATTTTATCAATATAATCAAGACTTTGTAGATGGGTAGCTTCAAATAAGAACCGACAGTTGTTTAACATAGATTTTCTTTTATAAACGAGATAAGACTTGTGTTTGTCCATATGCGGGTTTCAGGGTTTGTGCAACAGAGAGATGTAAGCTACATGTTGCTTATTGAAGGCCGGATATTCGCAAATATGGCAGTTACAGCTGATATACTGGATGATATACTGATGAATCTGAACCAAATTCGAGCCAAAGAATTGATAAATTGATCGATATTATTACGGATGAGACTATATTGTTGTGACCAAAGTAAAGACAGCCAATACTAAAGATATCAAAGGTTATGAAAGGGGGACAATCGTGATATTTAGTGAAGTTAAACCAAAAATTTAGTGGGTAAACACAGATATGATTCAATCAGTACTGTTACATCCACACGAGATCAAACAATGGTACGGTTATGATTACCTCAAAATTGAGAATTTAGTCTTTACTTTACTGTTTGTTTGTTTGTTTGTTGTTTAACTCCGCACTCAGCAATAATCGAGTATGGACCAGACAATCAAGTGATTGACATCACGAGCATCGATCCACGCAATTGTGACACGATGACATGCATCAGTCAAGTCAGCGAGCCTGACCACCCGATCCCGCTAGTCGCCTCTTACGACAAGTATAGTCGCCATTTACGGCAAGCATGGGTTGCTAAAGACCTATTCTACCCCGGATCTACACGGGTCTTGTACTTTACCGACGAAGCGTAATCCCAAATACTAGTTTAACGTGTTACTTCAACAAATGTTGAAGGAGTCTCTTGTAAAACTATGTCTTGCCACCGCGATATTCTAGGGATCTTTCATAAAATAATAACACCTCAAATTAGGTGTGTGTTGTTTGGGTGCTTTATTTTTATCGAAAACGTATGTTGTCCACATGACCTTGATTGAGCCACCATACACCAAGTTGTGTGGTTATGGGTTAGGTTCGACCTACCATATATTTTTTTTACATTTCAGAGATGACTATCTCACTTCTGGACTATTAATTTCTCCATATTAGTTATTTCCCCAATATCGGTAACTGAATCGGTTGGCAGATAATTCTCGCTTCATCACTGTCATACAGTACTGTACTCTAGAGGTGAGGTGAGGTGAAATGGGGTTTAACGTCGCGTCCAAGATTATTGCACTTTTGTAGCGACTGTACTCTAGAAGTGACCGTGGTTACAATCCGGGGAAAGGTCAGCAGTCAGGTGACTTGGAGCGGCTATATTTCGATAATCGCATACTTCTAAATATAACCGCTCGCAGTGACCTGACGGTATCAGAACGTAGAGACACCGAGCAAACGTTCCTGCGACACCAATATTTTAGTGTATTTTTCAAACAAATAAAGTTTGGTTTTCAATATTGTTGTACATGTATGGAATCAGGTCACAAAAACGCAACTGCTACAGAAAAGCATGCATTCCACTCAAAAGTTGACTTTTATGCAAGCCCCATGCATTTCACTGCCCAAGAATGGGTAAAAAAACGTGCGATCATGGGATTCCATATGCATTGTTTAGCATTGTGCTGACAACAACCACTCAGAAAAAATAATAAAAATTACGCAATTATTCAACATCAGGAATTGCCACGACTGTCCGAAAATGAGCGTCTGCGAGTCATTGGTATGCTTGAAGCAGGATCGAGTCAACGTGATGTTGCAAGACAATTTAACGTCCACAGAAACACCATTTGGTGTTTATGGCAACGTTGGAAACAGACGAATGCAGTCAGAGACAATCATCGGAATGGCAGGCCACGCGTAACCAATAATCGACAAGACAACTGAATTCGAACAACACACCTACGAAATCGATTCCAGCCAGCAATAGTGACTGCAAGAAGCATCCCTGGCCTTCGACGAATATCTTCACAAACCGTACGTCGTCGCCTCAGATGTGCAGGGATTGTCGCCAGAAGACCCACCAGACGTCCCATTTTGACAGGAAACCACCATCAAGCACGTCTACCATGGTGCAGACAGCGTCTACGCTGGACGGCCATGCAGTGGGGACAAGTTCTATTCTCGTTTTCTCCTCAGCCACAGCGATGGACGGATTCGAGTGTACCGTTACGAGGTGAACGTTACGTCAATCATTGTGTCATGGAAGAAGATCGCTTCCGGGTCGGCAGCGTTATGGTATAGGATGGGATTACAGCAAGACAGAGGACCCGTTCCATAGTGGTAGAGGGAAATCTCAATGGACAGCGCTATCGCGACGAGATCATCAGCCCTGTTTTGCGTTGTCATGGCCCAGGCAATACCTTTCAGCATGACAACGCCTGGTTCATTCCATGAGACGAAGATGTGCTGCTTGCATCGCAACTAGAGGTGGACACACACGCTTTTTATTTGTAAATTGACATTTTGGCATGTTCATGGTTTTATTTATGAAATCACGCATTTTCTCCAGTCAGTATGGCAAATTAAACCATTTGAACACTTACAGGAGTCTTTTATCTCTTGCAAACCGAAATAGTTTCAGATTTGGTAAAAAACATAACTTTGCATTAAATCTTATTCAATGTCACAGGAACTTTTGTTGTTCAGTATATGTAGCTTGTGAAACTGTATTAACGCTTTGGCGATAAACAACAAACCAACCAACCAACCCTCTGTTTGAGACGGAAGCTAGGGGGCGGGGCTTATCGGCCGGGGCGGGACTGGATCGGTCTATTAAGCCACGCCTCCTCGTAAGCGGTTTAAAGATTCGGCCACCGTATTGTACATTTGGCTACAAAAATGATGTAAGAAAAATAATGCTAATTCCTTTTTTCATGATACTTCCACTTTAGACATTCATGAACTATCTTTAGTTATTCCTTATGACTGATTTACTTTGTCGGATTGATGTGTTTTTACTATGATTCTTACGAACAAATCGCCAGTTAGTATTTACATGATATCTATCAGCACGAGTGAGTATGGTTTTACGCCGCTTTTATCAATATTCCAGCAATATCACGACGGGGCACACCAAAAATGGTCTTCACACATTGTACCCATGTCGGGAATCGAACCCGGGGCATCGGCGTGACGAGCGAACGCTTGAACTACTAGGCTACCTGACCGCCCCGTTTATCAACACGAACAGTAGTTTGTTTACGACGAGATACTACCAGTATTCAGATGCCGATGTTATCTCAGGATATTGTCACTTGTACAGTTTCATTTCTCACAGAAACTGAGCACAGAGCTAGTGTCCTGTGGGACCTAAATCATAAGGATTTTAATGTGTGTAAATTTAAATGTCGTACATTGCAACAATGTTTTACAGGCAGACCTCCTAACGTTGGAATGGAAATTCAGTTACTTGTCACATATTTGGTAAATGTGCTCAGTATTTAGTGTTGCTGAAAATATTTGAGTAGCAATGCTGACAGCAACTTTTATTAAGCTGTTGACTACATATTCAAGTGAGCTACAGTGCCGTTGCACTCTTTCCCCTCGGTCCCTAGTATGGTGGCCCAACTTTGGTTGCTGGTGATCTATAGCCCGTTTTTATGTGTTGTTGAATAATTCTTTGAGCAACTAGTTTTACTTATAAACTGTGATAGTCTAGTTATTATACTGTCCATCGTTGACAGGTTTTTATTCGTCTAAATTTAAGTATTATAAATGTTCTCGTCACGATATGGCTGAAATACTGCCGATGTGACGTTAAATTTTAACTCACTCACTCACTCACTCCTTAAATGTAGCCTATTGGTAGTTTGCCCTGTAGCCTTAGGGCGACAAGTATTTTACGCTACTTCAACCAGGTTCCAGCCACTAACACTCTCAATTACAAATTAGCATTTGGCCACAGTCGAGTACACACCATCCATATCCCTGTGGTCTGTAAGTAATTGTACCAGGACCAGACAAACTAGATAATATTATGAATAGCGTCACATGTCGTTGAGGTTCGAAATCAACCAATAAACCTGTTAACCATAATTGATGCATTCTGTTTTGATATTCAACATGTTTACGTGAATAATGTTTATTATATGAAGATGGATACATTATTTGTTTGTTTGTTTGTTGTTTAACGCCGCCCTCAGCAATATTCCAGCTTTATGACAGCGGTCTGTAAATAATCGAGTCTAGGCCAGACAATCCAGTGATTGACAACATGAGCATCGATCCACGCAATTGGGGTCGATGGCATGCATCAACCAAGTCAGCGAGCCTGACCACCCGATCCCGTTTGTCGCCTTTTACGACAAGCATGGGTTGCTGAAGACTTATTCTCCCCGGGTACATGAAACCCAATTGCAAAGTATTACTATTTTGTTCTATATGCATGTGCTAACATGTTTGCTGTAAATCCGTTGCATCGGCCCTTTCGTTGTTGTTGTTGGTTTGTTGTTTAACGCCGCACTCAGCAATATTCCAGCTATATGACGGCGGTCGGTAAATAATCGAGTCTGGACCAGACAATCCAGTGGTTGACATCATGAGCATCGATCAACGTAATTGGGATCGATGACATGCATCAACCAAGTCAGCGAGCCTGACCACCCGATCCCGTTAGTCGCCTTTTACGACAAGCATAGTCGCCTTTAATGGCAAGCACGGGTTGGCCCTTTCGTAGCAGGGCATACATGTTTATCACTATATTTAATAGCCATAGAAACATAATAAGCCAAGAAATGTATAATTACATATATCTTTAATGAAGGTTTCCTACAATCAGTGCAACAGAGCTAACATGACCCCCATTCCCTGCAAAGGTCATACTGATTGTGTTTGAAGAATGAACTTTATCCGCAGGCACCCAGTACTCCCACATTTCCCATTTGGTTGGGGCGTTATCCTTATCTGTATCATACAGCATATAGCTTGATGGCAGTTTATACCCATTAATCGTGACGCTCAGAGGTTTCCCGTTTGCGCTTTTGTCTCTGCTCACGCCAATCCTCATACGTGCAGTATGGAAGCCTGATCCTTGTACCTGAACTGTAGTTTGAGCATGACCGTTAC